TGGGAATCAGTGTAATAGAATATTCTGATTTTATTAAAAAATCTCTTTAAATAAAATACTGGCTGACTATTCGAAAAGAATTCAGTCAGCTAATGTGGCGGTCGAGGTGGGTGTGTGTTGCGGGAGGTGGGGTGGGGGTGACTAGACCCCGGTAGTACTATGTGCTGATAAGCACCAAATAAATCTTCTGTTCTGTTCTTGTAGTAATGTATACCGTGATAAACATATTCGGTCCAGAAATTATTTACTGAAAATATATTAGATTTTATTATGTTGATTTGYTTKTCTTTTCTTTCAGGCGATATCCCCGGTGTGAACCTTAAAATTCGAATAAACAAGACGACTGTTTCATAAACTAAAAAGAGTGAAAAACTGAAAGTTGAATTAAGTATAATCCAGTAGCAGTTTTAATTAAAATTAGACGTCGAAACAAATAAAGCTGACTACAGTTGAACGCTGCTTTGGATGTATTTCATTGTGAATCCTCATCAGATTTGTTTCTTTTTATTTATTTAATTCTCATATCTCGTTTTATTTATTTAAATGTCATATTTTCTATCTATATTTTTATATTTTAGCGAAAAAGGGGGTTGCTGTCCTTATTTATTACTGGCATATTTTCAATTATTTCATGACAATTACGCCTGAGATTGACACCTAAATGGTCCCCTACTAAGTCCTTATATGGACGTCACTTTGCAGCTTTCTTTAGATGCGTGGTGTGATGTTGTTTTAGGGAGGAGTGGTAGCGGTATGTTTTGCCACATTCTTTACATTTGTAGGGACGTTCTCCCGTATGGATTCTCTTATGCTGACGTAACGTGCTGTGATTGGTGAACGCTTTGCTGCATGTTTCACACTGGTATGGCCGCTGACCTGCAGTGATTAGGAATTTTTTTGTTATATCATCATCATCATCATCATCATATGTTTGCATCACTATCATGACTTCTTCCCCGAACCCTCGTCTTCCAAACGAATGGATAAGGGGTTGGGAACAGATTATTACTATCTATTCTATCACGTCAATCATACCTGTATGGATATTAATATGCTGTTTGAGGTCCCCAGAGTATCGAAATAACTTCAGACAGTGTGGACAGCGGTACGGCCTAGCGCCCGTATGCGTGCGCATATGAACAGCGCGTTCAGACGGTTGGTAAAACGACTTGTCACAAAACTTACAGGGGTAGGGACGAAGACCAGAATGGCGACGAACGTGAAGCTCCAACGCTCTTGTCGTAGTAAAACTCTTTGAACAAAAACTACAAATGCACGACACGTTTTTGCTTGTCAGCGGTTTAGTGCTCGGCGCATTCGTCACGTCTTTTTCTTTTTTCAGCGCATGCGTTGAAGTATCTCTCACAATCTGCGCATCTTTAGTTTCATCTTTGGGCATCTGAGCATGCGCCGAAACTACATCAATGTCACGTGATATCCCGTGGTTTCTTTGTAGAAGGCTACTTGACGAAATAAGTGGCGGAGGAGGCCCCCTGATTCTTTGTCTATCAATGAATTTGATTGGTTGGTTCAGTATCTCATCTGCGCGCGAGGAAATTACCGCTGGCAAACARAAACTGCATTTGCATTCTTGATTAATCTGAAAACAGAAAGCATGACATCATTTAGAAGATAATCTAGAGAAGTTATCCTTCAGCAGTATGTTAGTA